ACTGTAATCCAGGACTTTTGTGCATAAACTGTGCAGATACTTTCCAACTGCTGGGACTTATGCCAATGTAAGCAAATTATTAATAAGAGGAAATAATGACCTGCCTTAATAACAGGGATAAAGTCCAGGGGACAGCTTTCAACTCTAACATTTTTATTTTATTTTCAGCTCTTAAATATATAAATAAATGTTATAAGATAAGTTCATAAATGAACTAATTTGCATCAACCATATACATAACATTAATTAATTTCTAATTAATGCACTGGGCTCAAGCAATAGCACAGTGAGTAGAGCATTTGCCTTGCATGCAGCCGACCCAGGTTTGATTCCTCCACTCCTCTCGGAGGTAAGGTAAAGGCCCTCCCGTTGTTCGTTGATTTGCTCGAGCGGGCCCAGTAACGTCTTCATTGGAGACTTTGTTGTTACTGTGTTTGACATATCGAATACGTCACAGGTGGCTTGCCAGGCTCTGCTGTGCGGGCGAGATACTCTCGGTAGCTTGCCAGGCTCTCTGACAGGGGCAGAGGAATCAAACTTGGGTCGGCCATGTTGGCTGCGTGCCAGAGGGAGCGATAGCACAGCAGTAGGGCGTTTGCCTTGCACACAGCCAACATGGCTGACCCGAGTTCGATTCCTCTGCCCCTCTCGGAGAGCCCGGCAAGCTACCAAAAGTATCTCGCCCACACGGCAGAGCCTGGCAAGCTCCCCGTGACGTATTCGATATGCCAAACACTGTAACAACAAAGTCTCCAATGGAGACGTTACTGGGCCCGCTCGAGCAAATCGACGAACAACGGGAGGGCCTTTAATCTTTTTTAAAAAACTTCTCTCAGAGAGTCCAGCAGCTACCAAGAGTATCCTGCCCTCAGAGCAAAGACTGGCAAGCTACCTGTGACATATTCGATATGCCAAAAACAATAACAAGTCTCACAATGGAGACATTACTGGTGCCTGCTTGAGCAAATTGATGAACAATGGGAGGACAGTGCCACAGTGCAATTAAAGCACTTATTTATACTGTCACTGTCATCCCATTGTTTATTCATTTCCTCAAGCAGGCGCCAGCAACATCTCCATTTGTCCTAGTCCTGAGATTTTAGCAAGTGCCACATTGGAGGCTCTTTCAGGGTCAGGGAAATGAGACCCATCACTGTTACTGGGTTTTGGCATATCAAATACGCCACAGGGAGCTTGCTAGACTCTGCTGTGTGGGCAGGATACTCTCTGTAGCGAGAACTAGACAATAAGAACTAGACAATATTGCACTTATTAGTAAAAGAAATATTATTTGGTTCAAGTTAGTTTCCTTATGATTTTATTTTTTGACAGTGAATATTAACCCATATATTAGGTTAGATACTGCCTATTATTAGACATTTTTAGAAGATATGCTTAAAATATATAGGTACTGAAAATATTTGATCTAAATGATATTAGAAGCAAAAGACCTCTGAGACCTATGTGATTTTTGATTCCATATCCTCATTTACCAGTTGTTTTCAGATTTCACATCCCCAGTTGTAAGTTTTCCTGAAATTATATTATGTTAACTTAAAGTTATAAAAGATCCATGTCAAGACTTTATAACTGAACTTTCAGATTTAAACTTTGTCTTCGGTCTTAAGGAATAAATCTTATCACTACAGAAATCTTTTAGTGTCAGTGATACAGCAAATTTAGATTGTATTTCTGAATGGAGCTTAGGAAAACAGTAGGAAAATTTAGCACATAGCCCCCAAATGTTAGGTTGGTATAGCTCCTTTGTTTTACAACTTAAGTAGGAACTTTTAGGTCTATGACATAGGAAATTTAAGGTCTATGATGTTCTGTGTATGAAGTCCTGGTTGTCTCTCCCTCCATTATAGTATTTCCAGCATCCTAGTCTCCTGCTGTTTTTTTCCCATGATGCATTATGTCCAATTCTCTTTATGGCCTGCTGGTCTGTTGCTGGTATTTTCTAGTTGTTGCTTGCTTTGCTTTGACCTGAAGGTCTTTCTTGATCTCTGTACACACACACACACACACACACACACACACACACACACACACTCAGAGACGCACACACACAGGAGAATTGCTGCTTTCCCTGCTGTCTGCCCAGGACACAAGACTGGAATCAAGTGAAAGTTACCCTTTCCTTGCCTTCTTTTATGTCTTACTTATCCCCACCTCACCTATCTTCCCTACCTACAATTATCCCCCATGAAAATGTGATTTAAAAAGACCCAAGGGACAGTAGAGAGAAGTGACAGGAGAATTTCTCCACAGTTGGAAGCCTTCCTCCTATGCTGGGGGAGAAGCCAATGGGAATAGAGAAGGGACCACTAAGTCAGTGATGGTTGGAGGGATCGCTTGGGATGGGAGATGTGTGCTGAAAGTAGACAAAGGACCTAACATGATGACATCTTAGTATCTGTGTTGCAAACCATAATTCTCACAAGTAAAGTGAGAGAGTAAAAAAAGAAAGTGCCTCTATAGAGGCATGGGGTGGGGTGGGATGGGGGTGGCGGGAGGGATACTGGGAACTTTGGTGGTGGGAAATGTACACTGGTGGAGGGATGGGCGTTCGACCATTGTATGACTGAAACTTCATCATGAAAGCTTTCTAGCTGTATCTCACAGTGATTCAATAAAAAATAAGTTAAAAAATAAAAATAATATAAAGCCATTGGGTCTTTTTATATTATTTTTATTTTTTAATTTATTTTTTATTGAATCACTGTGAGATACAGTTACACTGACATCGGTTTAAATTCCTGGTACACATATGGTCTCTCTAGCACAGTCAGAGATCACTCCTGAGGACAGAGCCAAGAGTAGCCTCTGAACACCATTGAGTGTGGCTCTAAAATTTAAAAAAATAAATACAGAAATAAATAGATAAATAAAATGAGCACTGGGATTAAGTACGTTACCTAGTGTCCCTCTTCTTCCACCAGAACAATTTTTATCAGTTCCAATGATTTGGTTGTGTTTTAAATTTATTTTTAGCATTCCTGAAATTACAGAAATTACAATGGTTATTATAGTCCAGGGTGTCAAATTTAATAAAATATGATGATAAAATGGCCTGGTGACAGATTTCTTCTGTCTGGAATCCATTAGTCCCAGGAGGATGTGGCTATCAAAAAGAGCATGAAAATGGCCGGTAGCCAGGGATGAAGAGTCAACTAGTGGGGAGGTGGCCAGCAACCAGGGGTCAGCTGTGAGGGGGAGGAGTCATGGCAGGTGTCAGAGTCCAGAGGAAGCACAACCCACAGAAGGGTCCACAATCATTCAGAAATCTAAGCTAAGTGAAGTGTAATCAAAAAAAAAAGCCAGAGAGAGAGAAGAGAAAGAGGAAGAGAGAGAGGGAGAAGAGAGAAAACAATGTAGATTAAGAAGAGTCTGATCTTTGAAGTTAAGTAAACCAGTCTCTAACTCCCCTTCTTTGAGTAACTTGCTCAGTTCTATTCATTATCTCTATGGGCTTCAAATCATCTCCAATACAAAAAAAAGCCCAATATCAGGTCTGGAGAGATAGTATAGCAGATAAGTGCTTGCCTTACATCTACCTGCGTTCAATCCCCAGCATCTCACCAGGGGTGATGCCTAAAGTATAGGCCGAGTAAGGTCAGACTACTGTCACTGTCTTCCTGTTGTTCATCAATTTGCTCGTGCAGGCCCAGTAACGTCTCCATTGTGATAATTGTTACTGGGTTTTGGCATATACAATATGTCATGGGTAGCTTGCCAGGCTTTGCCATGGGGGCGGGATATTCTCGGTAGCTTGCCGGGCTCTCCAAGAGGGGTGGAGGAATTGAACTCGGGTCGGCCATGTTGACCACTTGCAAGGCAAACACCCTACCCTCTGTGCTATCACTCCAGTCCTGGTCAGACTACAGCTGGGTACAAATCAAAACCAAAAAAATAAATACATAAATAAAAGCCTAATATCCTTCAGATGGGCCGGAGTGATAGCATAGCGGGTAGGGCATTTGCCTTGCGTGTGGCTGACGCAGGTTCAATTCCTCCGCCCCTCTTGGAGAACCCAGCAAGCTACGGAGAGTATTCTGCCTGCACAGCAAAGCCTGGCAAGCTACTGGTGATATATTCGATATGCCAAAAACAGTAACAACAAGTCTCACGATTTGTTGTGAGAGGTTACTGGTGCCCACTCGAGCAAATAGTTGAACAATGGGAGGACAGTGTTACAGTGCTACTGTGCTATTCTTCAGATAATTATTAAAAATTACAGGGGGCAGAGAAATAATAGGTATGTTGCTTGCCTTGCACATGACAGACCCAAGTTTGGTCCCATCTGGTCCCCCTGAAAACTATCTGGAATGATCCCTGAGCATAGAGTTAAGAGTAAGCCTGGGGCATAACTTGGTGTGGCCCCCCAAAACAAGCAAAAGAATAAAACAAAAATGAATTATATGGGATTGAATATGTACAGTGTAGGATATTACTCCAAGTCAAAAACCATGTATCTGTGCACGCTGAAAGTAGACTATAGGCTGAACATAATGGCCACTTAATACCTCTATTGCAAACCACAACACCCCAAGGGAGAAAGAGAAAAAGGCAGTGCCCTGCCACAGAGATGGGGTGGGGCGGGGGGACAGGGTGTGGGGGTAGGAGCGATGCTGGGACCATTAGTTGTGGAAATGGGAACTGGTGGAGGGATGGATACTCAATCATTGTATGACTGAAATGCAAGCACGGAACTTTGTAAATCTGTAATTGTACCTTACGGTGATTCACTAATAAAAAAGTTAAATAAATAGAAATAATAAGAAAAATAAAACAATATGCATCATCAAAGTCTCATTAAAAAAATCTGGTTTTGCACTGGTTGAAAAAAAACTATCTATCTGACTAGCAAGTAGGGTCTACTGTTTTTTCTACTGAACTCACTGGGAGATATTCCAGAACTTGCTTATTGTTTCTGCATTGCAGAATTCAGTAAAAACAAAGCTGATTCCAATACACTAAGAAAAGGCAGTTGATCACACCTGACTGATGTGTGGGCAGCATTGGGCAGAAGATCTGGACAGGGAAAGGTCCCTGATGGGGGGAAAGAGTATCAAAGGAAATAGCTGATTGAGATAGAGCATATGCTTCACTCACAAATGACTTATTATGACGATGGGGGTGGTCTCACGGCACAGTGCTTTCTGTTTCCATTTAGTAATAATTCCAGTGCCATACTTGTTCTCAGTCTTAGATGTAATTATCCTTTTATCCAGGATCTCTGCTTCTCTTCACCCTCATTACTGTCTTTCTGGGCATTCTTAAGAATTTTTCTGATGGGACTACCATTGTTCATGAACTGCAATGGCAGTTATCCATCAAGTTTCAGTAGCAAAAAGGATAAGATCGTGGTTTAGATTGAGTTTTAAAAATTAATCAGTACAAAATTTCCCCTCTGTGGGACAAAAACTTAAGACTTTGCTCAATATCTAAGTATAAGGAGATAATTTTTATTTTGTTTTTATAAAATAGAGTAGTTTGAAAATAACCTCATTGTGTTGTGCCAGTGAACATGAATTATAACAGTTCAGATTGACCATAAAACCTAAACAGATGTTAGAATAGCTTGTGGTTTGAATTCTTCTTTGAACTGTAGCTTCTGCTATAATCAACAGGAATTTCTGAATGTTCCTGGAGACATAAAGAAGATATGTTATAGGCAGAGGCATTTTTATTTGTGAAGCTTTATTCCTAAATCAGACTTACTAAATATCACCTATAGACACCATTTTCAGTCTGGCTGTTTTAATGAGAAGTAAAATATGCCTGAAGACGACTGAAGACCACCAGTCAGCATTGACCTTAAGTGGCACTTACTGTGATTTATGTCCCACTGAAAATTTTTATTTGTCTTGTTTTTTTTCCAAGAAGACAGAAATGCATTTGGGAAGAAATATGACGCATTACAAAAAATATATAAGAACTTTGTGCAATGACTGAAAAAACTCACTATCTAATATGCCATATGTTTTAAAAGATCTAACTTTGTCATGTTGTATTAGTTAGATATACTGGAGATTATGTATTTTGCATGTTAAAAAGAAGTAAAAAATATTTTTGTAACTCATATAACACAATTTCTAAGACGATAATTATTTTCCATGTTACTTGTAACTTCTAGAAATATATTGGAAGGTACCTGCTAGTGCTTTTACAAAAGATATATTTGAATGACAGGAAACCACTTATATTATCATATATTGTGCTCTAGAAGAGACACGAGCTGGAGTAATACATTTTATGCTTAATATTAATAAGTTTGCTTAATCCATCCCTCTTTCCCTCCCTCTTTCCCTCCCTCCCTTCCTGACCCTTCCTTCCTTCCTTCCTTCCTTCCTTCCTTCTTTCCTTGCTCTACTCTCTCCTTTTCATTTTCTTCCTCCTTCCATAGGAGGAAACATCTTTTCTTCTTTGTTTCTTCCCTTTCCTTCAACCCTTCCCAATTTATTTTCAGTTATGGCTGGAAGTTCAGCACAAGCTGTGAGCCCACCAATATCCCTGGAAATCAGACTTGGCAAAGCTTAATCACAGTTCTAGAATCCTTGCTCTGACCTTACATGATGTAACTTTAATCTTCTTGGCCCTCTAAACTGAATGTTTTTGTTTTATAAAAGGAAGGAATATTTGCTAAGTCTTCCCTAAGGAGATACAATGATCCAGAGAGATAGTAGATGTGAGAACATTGTTGTCTTGTACTTGCAATGAAGTGAAAAGTCTGCTGAAAATTGGTTACCACTCTACTCGTAGACCTGTAAATAGGTATAGATCTTCTAGAATACAACATGCCTTGAAAGTTCATTGTCTTTGGACATTTCTGTGAATTTCCACAAGCTAATATAATTAAGTATTAAAAAATCTTTAGGCACAAGAACATAAATTAGAGTGCCATTTAGAAAAGAAAATATTTTAACATCAAATGAATAATAGAAATTATAGTAGATTTTTGTAAGTGTTTTTGAAAATCAGCATTCCTTTTTTGTATGTTTTAGGTAATAAACAGAAGGTGCTTTTATAATTAAAATATTTTAAGATAAAATAAATAATGCAATAGTACAATATACTAACATTATTCCATAAATACATTTGAGTGAATCATTGCCTATGAAATAACAAATATTAATAATATGAAATGTTATGTGTTATTTTTAGTAAAAATACATAATATTCTTAGCTTTGTTATTTTATGATTTAATACAATGAAAATTAGTGAGGTTTCGTTCTAAATGGCCATATAAAAGAGTGACTAAAATCACAACGAATACTAAGCACCTAGTAGTACTGTCAATAAAACTGTATCTCCAGGGACCAGAGCTGCCAAGTAATCATGTTTGTATTAGATTTAGTTTGGGAGCTTTTATGACTTGTGGTAGTGGAAATGGTCATTCAGGATGTACACATTCTAAATTGTTGGAAAGAATGAGTCTGTTTTTCAGTTCCTGTTAGGACTTCTGACATTTCTCCTGCTGAAGGTATAAAGTTTATAGTTGGAAAAAATGAGAAGAAACGTTAGCAGAGGAACTCAATCATTTTTCCTAAGGTGAGTAATATTTTTATTTTACATCCCCAAACATTGCTGGTAAATTGTGTGTTTTTGTTACCAAATCCAAATGATAGAAAATGTCTTCATCTATATACTACAGGTAAGGATCTTTAACATTAACAAACCTTTTTTTTTCAAAAAAAGGAAAGAGAAGAAAATGTAAAGGAATTTAGAGAGAAGTAATATGTCTGTGCTCATGATTGCTGCTAGCAGAAATATTGAACCGAGTTTTTATTTAGGATTAAATGACTTGTCAGGAAGCAATGAGATATAATACTACACATTTGCTTTGCACTTACTCTGTGCCAGGCATAGTCCTGAGCATGGAAATTGCACAAGAGCCTAAAAGTTGTAACAAAGAAATTACTTTATTTAATCTCATCATAACCATGATGTATTAAAATTCCAATTTTTAGTGCAGAAGCTAAGGCTTATAGATGTTTAGAAATATGTGCAAGATAATGGAATCAGATCACAAAAGAAATGATTCCAGTCATTGTGTCTAACCTTAAGATCATTTGGGGGTGGGGGGGCAATGAGAGGTTATATAATACAAACTACTAGTTTCTGATGTCAAATTTCCTAACTTCACTATCATTTGAACCACACATATATTAAGAAACTTCAGATAATCTATTTTGTCTTTTTCCTTTGTTTTCTCATATATAAATGGACAGTGACAGTAACAACTGCCTTGTAAGATTGCCTTTGGGCCATCTCTTCTATAGAATGAGATTATATCTATGGCACACTGAATGTACAGTGAACATAAAATAACTAGCTATCTTTATTTTTTTGTTTTTTTTTTTACTTTTAAGCTTTTGGGTTTTTTTATTAAAATTTTTTTTAATTTTTAATAGTGAGACATCATGAGGTACAGTTGCAGACTTACACATTTTTGTGCTTGGGTTTCAATTATCACTTATCACTTAATCACTTAATCCCCGTTATTCATCGATTTATTCGAGCGGGTGCCAGTAACGTCTCCATTCATCCCAGTTGCGTGCTAGTGTAGCCCAATGGTATCTGTTCGTTTTAGGAACATGTAGAGCCTCAAACCGATCATTTAGGGTCTTGACGAAGAAGTCTGACCATCTTATAGGTGGGCGTCCACGTGATCTTTTGATGTCTCATGGAATCCAATCAGTAATGGCTCTAGTCCAGCGGTTGTCTGTAAACCTCATTACGTGTCCAGCCCATCTGATTTTTGATGTCTTGGCAAATGAGACAGCGTCCCTGATTCTTGAGTGTTGACGATGATCAGAACTCTGGATTCTATCTCTCATTTGAGTGAATCGTGATGTTCCAAGCATAGTTCTTTCGATTCCTCTTTGAGAGACCCGAATAGTGTTCTCATCCTGTTTTCGTAGGGTCCAGGTCTCTGAGGCATATGTTAATGCAGGAAGAATAGTGGAATCAAAGAGATGTGCTCGTAGCTGGAGGTTCTTTGTCCTTTTAGTTATTTCTTCAATGCTCTTAAAGGCATTCCAAGCCGCTCTCTTCCTCCTGTGCAACTCAGGTGCCAGGTCATTCATCATGTTGATTTCTCGACCTAGGTATATATAACTGTTGCATTCGGAGATGGTGGTTCGGTTGAGAGCGAATGGAGCGTCAGGAACAAGGTTGTTTCTCATAAACATTGTCTTCGTAAGATTCAGCCGTAGTCCGACCTTTCCACATTCACGGTCAAAGTCGTTCAACCTTTGTGCCGCTTGGTTGATGTTTGGTGTTATTAGAACGATGTCATCAGCAAAGCGGAGGTGGTGTAGTTGCCGACCATCTATCTTCACTCCCATTCCTTCCCATTCCAGTCGTCGCATGATGTTCTCGAGGGTGGTACTGAAGAGTTTTGGTGAAATGGTATCACCCTGCCGAACCCCTCTCTTGATATGGATGATTACTTCTTTGTAGAATGGTGAGATCTTGGTAGTGAATCCGTAATAGAGCTCACGAAGGATCCTGATGTATTGAGTTTGTATGCCCTGATTGGCTAGGGCTTCCATGACCGCTTCCGTCTTAACAGAATCAAAGGCCTTCTTTAAATCAATGAATGTTAGACAGAGTGGCATCTTGAACTCCTGAGATACCTCAATGAGCTTGGTTATTGTGTGGATATGGTCGATGGTACTGAATCCTTTTCGGAATCCAGCTTGTTCACATGGTTGTCCTTCATCTAGTGTTCTGCTAATCCTATTCAGGATGACTCGAGTGAATAGTTTGTAGATGACAGACAATAGGCAGATTGGGCGATAGTTGCCAATGTCGTGGATGTCTCCTTTCTTGTATAGTAGTACAGTCTTGCTGGTTTTCCATTGGGATGGAACCTTGCATTCAGACAGGTAGCGTGTGAAGAGTCGAGCCAATGTATTGATGAGTACTGATGGTAAGTTCTTCAGGTGTTCAGGTCTGATCTTGTCTGGGCCAGGTGCTCTTTGTTTCTTTACAGACGAGATGGCATGTTGGATTTCAGAAGGGAGAACATTGGGAACGACATATCCATCATGTGGTATGTGGTATGTGGGCAAGTGGATGTGGCTATTAAAGAGATCTGAGTAGAAGTCATGAATAATCTTCTCCATTGCCCTTCTGGAAGATGTGATAGATCCATCATGATGTCGGAGGGCAGTCATCTTGGTTTTGTAGTTGGTGAAGGACAGGCGGGCATTACGAATATTTTCCCAGCTTCTGCTGCATCTACCAGTACTGCTGCTCTCCTGTTTTTGAGGTCATCCTTGATGGCTTCTCTGCACTGTTTTGCCAGTTCGGACGTTTGCTTGTGGTTGCCTGAGGCACGTGCCAAGCCACATTGGTGAATAAGTTCAAGAGTGTTCGAAGAAAGACGGTTTTTTGTGGTTATCTCTCTCTTGGCATTCCTTGCACAATCATGGAGGTGCTGAATCATTCGATCGTATTCCTCATCAATGTTGTCAATGCCGGCATCTTCCCATGTTGCCGCAACAGAGCCAAAGAGTTCCCAGTTGGTGGTTGTTCTGGGAGTCCTCTTCTTAAACCTTGCATTCTTTTCTCCTCGTTCTGTGAGGTAGAATTTTGCACGAAGAAGACGGTGGTCTGATCCCGTTTGGAATTTTGGGACAACAGCAACATCGGTTAGGCAAAACTGCCGATTGAATATGATGTGGTCTATTTCATTATGGAACCGTCCATCGGGAGACTCCCATGTCCAACGTTTAGATTCAGCCTTTTGGAATTGTGAGTTACCATGGAAGGTTTTGGTTGACATGATGAACTCAGACAGTCTGTCACCCTGTTCGTTCCATTCCAGGCCATGGGTTCCGATGTGGAGTTCATCGACTGATCTTCTTGGTCCTATCTTGGCATTAAAATCACCGACAATGATCTTGTAGAAGGTGTGATCTTCTTTATAGAATTTCTCCAGCTCCATGTAGAATTTCTCAGTTTCTCTTTCACCATAACTTGATGTTGGTGCATAGACAACAAAGAAACTGCCGGTAGTGAGCCACATTTATTCAAGTGTAATCGTCCGATTTGGGTTGTTAGGCATTCAAATGAATCAATGCTCGTGACTAAGTTTGTGTTGACAAGGATACCGACACCACCGACGCTTCTTTTATCACATGTTCCAAGGAACAGTTCTTCTCCAGTGTCGAAAACAGCATGATGGGATTGATGTCTTCTCGTTTCGGTCAGACCAATGATGTCGAACTTGATCTTTCGTGCTTGTACCATAAGGTCTTCAATGGATGCAGCGGATGCCAGCATACGAGCATTAAAAGTACAGACAATCATTTTTGTTTTTCTGCGTTTTGGCAGCCTATGTCTGCCTTGGTGTTTTATCAGCCTCTCCTTCCATATCCTTCTCGACTCTGCATATTCAGGGTTAGGGAAATGAGATCCATTTATTACTGGATTTGGCATATCTATTTGGTCTATTTGGCATAGACCACGGATAGCTTGCCAGGCTCTGCCGTGCGGGTTGGATATTTAAGGATATTTAAGGTACCCTGAAAATTTAGAGAAAAGTAATTAAATAGTCGCGCGGCCGCGAATGCGGGAGCTTGTTGTGATAATCTCTGGATCCTGGCCTTTGTTGGGGTTACACAGCAGTTGGAGGGTGTAACTGTCTAGCTACTGACAGGTCCAGTCCCAAACCGTGCAGGCTTGGAGATCTCAGCCCCGGGTCCCACACACCTGGGTTCCTCTGCCAGTTCTGTTATGTCTGAGGTTTATCCAAGTGTGTGGAGAGTGGCCCCAGTAAGGCCTTGGTTGGGGCCTGGAGGTCTTCAGCTGTTGGGCCCTGGCGAGGATAGTCAGACACAGGGTAGGAGACTCTGCCTTGTGCTCTCCCGGGAGCTTGTTGTCATAATCTCTGGATCCTGGCCTTTGTTGGGGTTACACGGCAGTTGGAGGGTGTAACTGTCTAGCTACTGACAGGTCCAGTCCCAAACCGTGAAGGCTTGGAGATCTCAGCCCCGGGTTTTATTTCAATTATACAATGATCAAATACCCATCCCTCCACCGGTGCCCATTTCCCACCAACAAGGATTCCAGTATCCCTCCCACCCCCCATCCCCCCATCCCACCCTGCCTCTGGGGCAGGGCATTCCCTTTTGTTCTCTCTCTCCTTTTGGGTGTTGTGGTTTGCAAAAGAGGCAGTGGGTGACAATCATGTTTAGTTTATAGTCTACTTTCTGCATGCTTCTCCCATCCTGGGAGGATCCTCCCAACACCCTTTATTTGGTGCTCCCTTCTTTATCTGAGCTCCCTTTTCCCCTAGTATGTGTGGTTGGCCTCCAAGCCATGGAGTAAAATTCCTAGTACTAATCTCGGCCAATCTTGGGTGTTAGTCTCCTATTTTGTTACTTTATGTTCCCCAGATGAATGCAATCTTTCTGTGTCTATTCCGCTCTTTCTGACTCATTTCGCTTAACATGATACTTCCCATGTATTACCACTTGTATGTAAATTTCATGACTTCGTCTTTTCTAACAGCTACAATAGTACTCCATTGTGTAAATGTAACAAAGTTTCTTTAACCAGTCATCTGTTCTCGGGCACTCAGGTTTTTTCCAGATTCTGGCTATTGTAAAGAGTGCTGCAATAAACAGACAATTGCAGATGTCACTTTGACTATACATTTTTGCCT